CAACAGAAGAGAAAAACTACTTTCTGCTACAAAATTCCTTTATTCATGAACTTATATCAGTAGATAAGAGAAATAAGAGATAGTGTTCCAATAAGAGGGTGCACTTTGGGGTTTCTAAATTAAAATTTCCTTAATAAATAGGCTAGAAGAGGCAGGTTGATAGCTGCTGCTACCACCAAATTTGAGTCCACTGAATTCCTTTTATAGGTACACATAATAGGCATGCATAAATGCATAAAAAGAAATAAGACAGAAAACATGCAATTTAAAAAAAAGGAGAAGTTATAAAAGATTAAAAAAGATGCTACAAAGATAGAAGGAATACATCAAAGAACACTTTTCTTTCATCAATACATAAAAAAAAAAAAAAAAAAAAAAAAAAAAAAAAGAAAAAAAAGGGAGAAACTGTTTTAAAGTCTCAGATTTTGATGAAACAAAGACCAAGACCAGATGGAATTGTAAAAGATGCTGCGATCCCTTAGCAAATTTAGGGATTAATAAGATTACCAAAATAATAAATAAATTATATGACAAGAGGTGAAATACCGAAAGACCTCAGTTAACTTGGTCTGCCTTTATAGTGACACCTAGGAAGCAAGGTGAAAATTAATGCAAACTCCATCAGACAATCAGCTTAATGAGCTACATAACTAATCATTAAGATTCTAATGAATGGAGCTTGTAGTCGAATTAAAGCAAAGATTTGCAAGAACAGTGTAGCTTAGTTCAAGGCACTGGACCAAGAAATGCTATCTTTATGACCAGATTGCTATCAGAGTGAACAATACAAATGCAGAAAGACCAAGGAACACCAATTGACCAAAATGCCTTAAAAATGATGAAAATACATAAACTTATTCTTTATAGTTAAATCATTTTCTGATATAAATAATTATTTTCCAGGTACCATTCCATTTTTTTTCATTATTACAATTTTTCTTTGATAAAAGAAACTTCATATACAAAACAGAATTTGCACTTTTATGTAAAGGCATGTTTAAAAGGTTTATGTCTATATTTTGTGCTATTCTCATTTGTAGTTTAGCATAAATTATTCAACATCTGTTTTGGACACTATTACTTTCTTAAGGAAAGAAAAAAGAAAAAAGAAAAAGAAAAGAAGCCTCATATGTAAAAATGTTGTGCACAACTGAAATGCTGATTTTGGCTGATATTTTAACATTCAACTCCCTTATTTGTTTGAATACTAAGATGTACTCTTGTACTGATTGTATGTAAATCTCATAAACCACAGTTATTTATTCTTATGCATAAAGAGAAAAAATTATGAGATCATGAAAATGCTTAAAAGTAAGATAGATATATGTTAAGGATGTATTTAGCATTTTAGAAAAAATAAAATACATGTACTGTGACTATTATGCCAGTACTTTACAAAAAAGTGTACAATGTGGTCAGACAGATTCTATTTCAAACACATATCAAATATTTTATGGAAATTCAGTAGGTTTTCATCATGTGGCAAAATATTTAATTAAAAATGTTTTCTCTAAAATGTCATTGGAATCAATAGTAAAGGACAATGGTTATCATTATAAAATCTGTATATTTCATGAAAATTAAAATTCTGTATAAGAATATAAATAACAATATCTATAAAATATTTAAACAGTTTATTTTTAAATTGACAAATCCTTGACAGGAAAATGATTTTTATATACATTGGCAAGATTTGTTTCATTCTTGTAAAGGATCCTAAAAAAATTCTCTTTTCAATACTGTACTCAATGTTACAATCAATCTCAGTGAAACTAATGGCAATAAGAAAGATTAAATTTAGCGTTTGTTTCTATTGCAAAGAAAGTTTTCAATACATATTCTTTTTTTTATGACAAATAATTATAACACTAACTAAAACCACAATCCTAAAAATGTATCCTGAATGAAATCCAATTAGGAAAGAAAATGGTTTCTAATAATTTAAGTTTCTAATGTTTTTAAGGATTTAAGAGCTGTAGTTATATAACATTGAAAATACTACAAAAACAAATTTTCCATATAACCTACAACTCTCCCAGTTGTATCAAATAAAAGCCATTTAAATTTAAATAAATATAAATATGAACACTAATAATAAAAAGCAATGAAATGAAAATTATCAAGGATTTTTTTGTTTTGTTTAAAACTTGTATTATGTACATATATTATGACTATTTTTTTTTAATTTAAAATTGATTTAAATGTGATATAAATTTCTGTTAAGGCTTACAAAAAGAAAAAATGTGATCTTGAGAATATGTTTTCATAAACTAAACAAATGTTTAAATTGTTTTTTTCTAACAAAAAATTTTTTGACAAATTTTCCTCTTTACAATTTATGTTCTTGTCAAAGAAAAATCTTATTTTCTACTTTATAAAACCTGTAAGTATAAATTTTCAAAATTAATTCAGAAATAAGTTTCATAAAAAATTACTAAACAAGTTGTATGAATGACTACAACAAAATTTAATAAAACTAAACTTATTTTACTACAACAAAATTTAATAAAACCAAACTTATTTTACTTGAAATATTCTGTAACCTTTTCATGTAACCTGTCATTGTGTTAAATTATTCAAAAATTTAAAAGTAACATGCTAAGATTATGATTTCTGCATATTAACGCAATCTCATACTAGAATAAGCCCTTGATGTTTTCTATTAAATACAATTTAATCATCCAAAACCAAAAATATGGTACACATATACCAATTATAGAACAAATTCAAATCTATTTAATTACAACCCAATTGATTATGTGAAATATGGAACTGACATATTCTCAAGAACCAATCTACAAGAATAAACATGTACACTTCATAGATTTATTACATTATTCATGAAATTTAAAAATGAAAGCATATTTGATTATGTCCTTGCTATTATTAGGTTTATCACAAGCCTAAATATATTTTTTTAGTTGTTATTGTTGCACTCAGTGAAAGGACAGAGTTGTTTTTTTTTCACCAATTGGCTTTGTATGCATTGCAACAGTGTCATTGAGATGACAGTGCAAGGGAGATAATTAACATTACAAACAACTTACAAATACCCTAGTCATAAAGGGTGTGACTATATGTGTGTGTGTGTGTGTGTGTGTGTGTGTGTGTGTGACTAAATATTTGAGCCATAGATAATTTCCGTTTTGGGTAACCAGTTGTAATATTTTGAAGATTAAAGTTGATAAAGAAAAAATAATTATGACCCGACCCAATAGAAGTATTCTGTGAATTATCTAATAATGAAAATATTCTTAGTCCCCACCCCGCTTAAGATCTTTTGTTAGTTATGCAGCTACTCAAATACAACAATGAGAAAATGGAACAATCCTCAGCAGAAAAATATCAAATGATTGCTATTGGGCTAAAACTGTGTTTTAGGACTAAATTGAGTACTCAGAATTACTATGTAATTGCATATGGCAATATCTGCATGATTGACAAAAATTGTTTGTTACCTAGACAATGTTGTATTGGACATTGGTACACTCTGAATCCATACTCAGAATTGTCTTGCACATCAAATGTGAAAATTATACTGATTTAATAATGTACTAACAGTATATCCAAGAATGTGATAATAGACATAAAATGCACTTTTTGCATTCTCAATTTTTCATTTTTGGTGCCTGAGCATGATGAGCATAACAATAAGTTTTACTGGGACATACCCGAGATGGAATTTGGATATCAAAACAGGTTCAGACCAAACAGAGTGAGACTACTATTAATGAGCACAATCACAAGAGTTTCAAACATATGAAAACCTTAAGAACCAAAAGCAGAAATCAGAAAAGTGACAAAGGAAAAAAAAAAGGGTTAAAGAAGTAAATGAAAAGCAAGTGATAACCATACATTTATTCCCTGCCAAAAACACAAATGTATTAAAACATTACTAAGCACATTCTGCTATTCATCTCAATTGAACTGTTTCACAAATTCATTATTGCTTGATTTATGCATAATCCTGCATTTTTCACTGACATATTTACATATTCTGAGGTCTTGCCATTCTATCCATGTAAAGAATCTAATAAAAGCTGATTTCTGGTGATTTTATTTAGTGAGAGCAATATTCAACAAAAAGAATCTCTTTTATAGCGCCATCTATTAGCGTATTGATATTTTAACCTTTTAGAGTGTATAATAGGCAGCCAATTGTTGTACTAAGACCACAGACTCTGAACACCACTGCAAACAAAATTGGCAATTAACCTGATTGCTTATTATCAATGCTGTTAATTTTGAAACGAGCAGAATGAATTACAAAAGAAAAAAAATAAAAAGATGCTATTCTAGAGAATCTAAGAATATTTTCATGAAAAATAACATTTTTTAAACGCTAAGAAATTAAAAACAAGAAATGAATATGTTAAATATAAATATCATATTTTAGTTTTCATTTTACTTAAAGTTCTGTAATTTTTACCTCCATCTTTTTAAAACACTTTAAAATCAAATATTTTTGGAAACTCATACAAATAAAAATAGCTAATAACTTATACACTATTGAATATATTCTTATTGCAATAGATGTGAAATCATAAAATACTCAACATAGAATAAAGCTGAAAATAAGTAGACGAAATTATAAAATCAAATTGTAACAATTTCGGTTTTGAAGGAAATTGTTTCTTAAAATGTTAATCTAATTATTTTTGGATGAATAGAAATAAGTTGTCTTAAGGCAAGAAGTAACCAAATAATTTTAAAAGTAATTATATAAAATAAATATATTTCAAATTAAGAAATATTTACTAGGAAACAAAGACAAACTAAAACAGTCTTCCTAATATCTTTTTAAATTATACTTATCTTTCATTTTGAAATAGAACCCGAGAATTGATGTCGATATTTTAAAATAATTATACCAAACCTAGACATTTGGAGAAAGAGGGAAAAGAAAAAGGAAAAAAAAAAAAAAAAAAAAAAAAGCGTTTTTTAAAACATATATACAGCATATTCACAGGATTAAGTTATGTATAGACATACACACATACCTGCGCCAAGATCCTCCAGGTGGAACAGGGCCTCTTCTCCTGGGATTTCCCCGGGGTCTTCTTGTTTGGTAAGGTCGGGCATGTTCTACACGGACTCTTCGACCACAAACCATTCTTAAAAAAGTAATGTCAAACAGATCAAATTTAAGATTTTACATTTTTTTTTAGAATATCTTATAATTAAATTTATAGCATAGTATTTAAATTAAAGTTTACAAAGAAGCTTTCAAAAAGGTTCAGTTCAAGTCATTTAAATATTTTTTTAGTAATCAGTTTTTAAATTCTTAAAGCCTATTTCCAGCCAAAAACGTAATAATAAAATTGAAGCTTATTAGAAATTGTGAAAACTTCTCATTATAACTTGATCACAGAATAGATAACAGTCTATGTAGACTTAATATTTAAATCTTATTTGGTCTAAAATATGACATTTGGTGAGCATTACAAACTATTGGAAGCTAATCATCTGAATCAACCAGGTTTTGATTTTTAGCTTACTGAATGCTGTAATTTTTTAAGTGAAGTTTTCTATATACTACTGAAATTTGAAAACATTTGTTTCATTACATTGCAGTTCATTAAAATAGGCCATGTTATAGAATATTTATTTGTTAGTTATCTTGATTAACCAATTTCAGTATCAACTTGCAAACTAGTGATAAAAAACAGCTGTAAAGATTTAGTCTACTGTCTAACAATACCGTTTGTCTTTTTTTATTTTTACCTAAATGTTCACCCCTATACAAAGCCTATGAACCTCTCAAGGTAGAGGGTTCTAAATGAGGTTGTTGTATGGACATTAGATGGGGCAGGGGAAAGTAAGTACAGATTATAAGAATATGTAATGGTTAATCCTGAACTTGAAGAGTTTAATATTGTACTGTTTGAGGGAGGGAGGGAGGGAGGGGCTGGCATCCTTCCAGGTATCAGCTCTATAAAGTAGTAGGCTTGGGGGAGAAGCTATCAAACTGAAACTTCCTTCTTATAAATAGAAGGGGAAAGAAATGAACAAGGTTCACCTCTGTGTATATGACATGGTGGATTTTAGCTAGAAATTTCTGAACTGGTGGTACTAAGGAATGTAGCTCTCTTGAACATTTGCCCTGAAAATAGTGACAGAATAATGAGAGGTTTGCGGTGTTGCATCTGTGGGAGAGTGGGTTGTAAAGTGGAAAATAGCTCAATGCCTGCAATGCATAAATGCTTTTTAATTCTCTCAGAGAGGACTGAGCAGCTCCAGCCCAGATATAATCTGATCTGACGCTTGCAAAGATAGAACAAGGCAGGTGGAATCAGGAATTTTCTGGAGTGGTACAAAGAATCAATCATTTTTCCAGCATCTTTAGCGATGGATCATATATATAAGTTCCATTTGAGGTCTGGGGGTTAAGCTTGAGTCCCAAAAACACTCAAAGCAAGGAACTACATTTAGACTGCAACCATTTAATATAACTGGTGAGAATTTAGGGTCAGCTTGGTCAGCTCTGATGAAAACTTACTAGCTTGGTTTTTGAATGAATTTCTGGGATGTGAAGTTATTGACACTATTTATATTCAGACTATTGTTCTCATATTCTTTGTTGTTGTCATCACATCATTTGGCCATATATAAATCTGAGTAACCTACAGGGAATTCTGAACTAAACCCTTTATTTAATCTATGGTAGATTTCTCATCTCACATGCCCATCTAGTTCTTATATTATTTAGTACTGCTCAGTTATTGCTCACCTGTTTCCACTGAGTGCAAATGCCCAACCCAGGGATTGAACTCTCAACTACTACATCACCAAATTAACAAATCAATGTTTTTATTCACTAGGCAATTTGCTGTAGTAAACTTCTAGAGATTCCATAGCTGGAGAGTTTATGCAACAACCCCTTATCAAAGGTCTTTGAAATATCTAAGGTGATTACTCTTGTGATGAATTTATTATCTCAAGTGCCTCTCAGATTCTGTGTGTTATGACACTTAAGACATCAGCAGTGAACCCAGAAGAGTAAACTTCATACTACTTGTCACTCAGATTGTTTTTGACCACTTCAACAGAAACATTCTTGTTGATGATACTATGGAAGCTGATGGGTCAATATATTTGGATTGGGATGAACACGCCCTCAAATTCTTGAAGATATGGCAGACAGGTGATACCTTCCATAGATGTGGGAAATACTTCTTCAGGTAGCAGCTAACCAGCTTCATCAAGATTAGAAATAATTATAAACTGAGGTTGTTAAGAACCACTGTGATTTTATCCAAACCAGTAGCTTTTGTGGAGTTGAGGCATTTGATGAGTCTAGAAACTTCCCTTGCTTTGATAGAGATATCAAAAAGCTTGTGTTTTGTGAGAGGTGGGAAGCTGGATAGTGAATGGTTATTTGTCTACATGGATTTAGAGGTAAAGCTCATTGCAGAGAGCTTAGGCTTATCCAATGAGATGACCCCAGAACCATTTATGGTAGTTGGCACTAACGTGTTGCCTCTACTGAGATTTTCCATAAGTCATGGGAACCAAGTCTTTTGTTTTCAAATTTGGTTTGGATTCCTTTACATTATCCAGAGCTCTCTTCCACTGATTGCAGGCAGTTCTGTAAGTGGCCAGAGTTCTTCTACAATGGTCATAGTAATCTATGGCTACAGCACATTTTGGCATGAACCAAGGCTGGCTGTTTGGCTTCTATTGATACTTTTCTTATATGATAGATAAAATTTTTCATGCCAGAAAGAATACAATCAGAGGTGAGGGAGGCTGTTCTGGAGACTTCATTTTTGAAGAATGCTGAGAGAGGATCTTCAGCAATGTAAGATCTATCCTAGGAAATGAGACGTTTTTATTTCAAGTTAAAGCCATGCAAGATTCTGTTGAAATACTTTTGGCCTGACCTACTTTTTAAAATCTAAGTGAGAAAATAGAATTTATTTAAAAGGCTTCTTGGCTGCTTTGAAAACTTCAGCATGGTCTTTATATATGAAACATGTGATTTCAGTGCTTTAGAGCTTTTTGACAACTACTGCAATTTGAAAATGTTATACTGTATCAGTTGCTTGCACATGATAAAGAAATACCATTCAGTATCTGTTTATATTTCCGAGACGAGGTGTTATGTACACTATTTACATTATTCAGACTATTGTCCTCATCTTTGTTGCCATATTTATTATGTTTCAACCGTTGTACGCTCCAGCCTTCTTCAGGTGGTTGGAATGTCAAACTGAACCCTTTATTTCGCTCGCTGGGGTAGACTGTTCTAGTTCCACGTGCCATGTCTAATGGATGTCAGTTATCAGTTATCTCCTGTTAATTCCCTTCTCAGAGTTCTCCACTACCTTAACCAGGTATTGAACTCACACTCTTTGGGTCCTGTCACTGGATCTAACTAACGCCCTTATCCACTGTGCCATGCATCCTTATACATTTAAACAAAATTTAATCTTTCCCCCAACTTTATAAAGATACAATTCTTTCCTGTGTGATGATTAGTTTTTATTCCATGTCTCTAAGTTATGCCACTATTTCAACTACAGGTGCTTTTCCTGCATTTCCAAAGCTGACAATTTCATAGTGGTCTTTCTCAAACTTGCTGCGTTCAGAGTTGTGTATCCCTACAGATATCAAAATTGTTCCACCCCAAAGGAAAAATAAAAAGGATTTGGTAGGTTTAAGATAGGCTTTGAAGTTGTCTTTCACAAAACATGACTAAATCGAAAACTTTAGTGGATGAAATACTAGAAATTTAACTTATAAAAAAAAAAAAAATTTACACCTACTTGTAGAGCAATGTCTTGTCTTTAATAATCAATTGATTTTTATATCTGTGCCCATACAACTTAAAGTCCATGTGAACCAAAAAGAGTATACTGCATTAATTTCATGCAAAACCATATGATGCATCAAAATTTGTATTACTAATTGAGTGCAATTTTTTCCCCTTAAGCTGTTAAAGCATGTCTTTTTTAAGTAGGTATCTGTCCTATTTTTTTTATGTTAGTGCTTACCACAGAGACTCATCCAGGTGATTAATAAAATATACATTTTATCTTCTGTTCTGTAGATGAGAAGTAGTTTTCTCCTAAGCGGGAGAAGCAGATTGAAGACAACCCAAAATAAATTCCTTGCAATATATGCTGATAAAGTTAAAATCTGTGTCACAAAGAGAATATACATTAAAGTGATATAACTTTTAATGGAACCATCTCTACCTGTAAAGAAACAAAAGGAAGAAAAGGTACTCAGTAAATCTGAGTATTCAAACATCTCTAGCATTAGTGATGAAGAAGAACCACTTCAAATGACATTCCATTACAAACGCCACACTGCCAATGGGTTGTAGTATACAACAACTTTTAGATTGATCAAGTAATTGACATTATATATTTGTACAATGCTTTAGTCAAAATTGCAAGAAGGATCATTTCACCTGTCCAGAAAGTCTTTTTCATCAGTTCCAATAATTGTATTTTTATTAATTTCAGTTTTTTGTTTGTTTGAAGGTAAATGAGTTCAAATCTTTACAATGACCATTTGTTTGAAGGACTGACCAATGATTCATTACATGAAACAAATTTCTAAATTTTATAGTCATTACTGTCCTGTTTTGACAAGTTAAAAAATTGCATAATTTCACAAATTGTTCCAAAATTAGATACATCTATGACAAAAGGTATTTATACTACATAAAGAGCTGTTTTGCTGAATTCATCATCCCAAAATTAGTAAAGTTTCAGGCATGTACCTCGAATGGATGCTTTTTTTATGGTAAGTACATGATAGTATACTTTTTGACCTGTTTTCACCCTACTGCCAAATTGAACTAAGTTGCAAGGCATTTAATAAGAGGAAAATCATATGAGCAGTCAAAATTGCCCTTCTGTGTCATGTTTCAACTATTTTGTTTTTGAGAATGCAATTTTTTTCAATGTTTAGGCTGGTCTGATCTAATAATTATTGATTCCATTAGTATTATATTTCTTTTACTTCAAGACTACTTATATTTTCAATGATTTTTAACTAGTCTAAAGATGGCATCATCAATTAAACACTGCTAAAATTTGTTTCTAGCCCAATAAAACACAAGACAGAAAATTTTCAATGGTCATAACTTTATTTGCTAATTGAGTTACAAAGAGAAATTTGGTAACATCTTTTGTTTTGTCACATTCTCTATGTCTGTATTAAAAGTTTTTAAATATATTGAAAATTAATTTTAGTTTGGGATACCTACTAGAAAACGAAGTCTCCCTTTCCTAAAATAGTCACTGAGACATTTTGTAAGAGAACTTTAAACCTGAAGCAAGTTACCAGTTGTAAAATAAAATGTGTGAATGGAAATGAGGATTCAGCAAATAGTGTGAAATGCAAATTTTCTATTCCAGGGGTACATTGGCTTTCATAAGGATAAGTCCTGACTAGATTTTGGAAACAAGAGGAACAAAAAAAAAAAAAAAAAAAAAAAAAAAAAAAATTTTTTTTTTTCAATAAGACAAATGAGCTGCCCAAACAAAGATTGTCAACAATTATTTATTTGGTTAAACATTTTTACTTAATGTTATTAGCCATCTAATCAATTTAAATTTGAAACTACAGAGCAAGAACAAATTGTTTTCAAGCTTAATAAATAATATCAATGCACTTAAAAGAGCAGTGTTAAATGAGAATATCAAGTTATTGCAACTGTTATTTGAAAGTCATTTTCAAGATTTTGTAGAAGAGTACAAACTTGAATTTATAAACCCAATAAAACTTAGTGAAAAAAAAAAAAAAAAAAAATCCTGAAGATGCCAGAATTTGTTGATTTGAGAAGAATTATTGAAAATAAAATTTGATGAATTTACCCTCAATCCTAACTTGATATTATTATATTCTGCTAATCCTTACTCTGGACATTTTAGATTTATTTCTGCAATTATTTCAACAAGTATTTTCAGTTATAAACATGATTACAAACAAAACAATATTACAACTGGCTAATTTAAAAAGATGTAAATCTGGCAAAATGAAAACTCAAGTCTCATTAAGAGACTTGAGTTTTTATCATCTCGTTTTTATATTAAACTAATAAATCATTAACATGCTAAATGTATCCATATAAATATTTTTATCAAAATAAATGTGATTTGTCTGAAACAACTAAACTGTGCATAGCAAAACTGACATGGTATGAACGGTTGGCCACTCTTGACATACAATATCTATAGACAATATCCTATGTATTTAAAGCTTAATGAAGTTTCTTACCGGCCATCAAGATCCCTAACTGCTCTTTCAGCATCTTCTGGGTACTTGAAAACCAAAAAAGCAAATCCAGGTGGATTTCTGAAGAAAAAAAAAAATATGTGCATAAAACTTAAATTCTGTATGAAAAAAGAAAAAAAAAGCAGAATGTACATAGAAGGGCAATGCAGTAAGGAACAGCTTTTATTATGATAAAAATAAGAAAAATTCAAATAATTTGCAAATGTTTCATTTAACTATATTCCAAAATGAAAGGGTAAGATGTTAAATAACAGATTCATGATGAGAAAAAAACATTTGTAAATATTTAATAAATTGATTTAATAAATATTTAAATATTTAATAAATAAAAATATTAAAAGGTTTCATACAGTTTAATGTTACATTAGAAGTTAATGTATACACATGTCAAAACTTTTAATAAGCCTCTTTACATTGCTTGAAATGTTTTTATAATAGAAATTTTGTCTTATTTTAACTTTTTTAATACATTTCTTGAACGTTTATAGTTAATATATATATATATATATATATATATATATATATATATATATATATATATATATATATATACATACACAAGAATGTTAGAGGGCTTTCTCCTCTCCTAAGTGATGAAAAAAAATGTCAAAGTATTAGAATCTCTCTTATATATATATATATATATATATATATATATATATAACACACTTTCCTCATGAAATTGCATATTTCTAATCTTAAATGCACAAATTTATAATCAAAACAAAATAGTTTAACAAAAACAATGTATTTTAATAACTCCAAACTAAAGCACCTATTAAGTTTGCTCTAACTTTTAGCCTATATTATCAACAGTACTTCTAACCTCATAGAAAATAATTCCTATAGCATATAGAAAGGGACAGATTTACAGAAATTGTGTATTTTATACACACACACACACACACACACACACATTTAAAGAAATATAGTCTTAAGGTGTGCTATATTTATGGGATAAAGTGCTCAATATCAGAGATAGAGCGTGTGTAAATATAAAAGTGAACATAGAAGTGGCCTGACGAGCATGAAACAGACTGTCGCCTCTAAGTGTTGACTTCTATGTTCACTTATATATATATATATATATATATATATATGCATGAGAGAGAGAGAGAGACACACATACACACAGACATATGCACACAAGAGAGAGACGTGTTAAAAATGGTGAGAATAGACTAGAGAGAGGAGAGGAAAAAATCCGTTTGGAATTAATATTTAAAAAAGAAAACATTACATTTAAAAAATATTTTTAAGTAAATTTCCTTCTTATTACCATATCTTTTACCATCATTCATTCAGGTGACTTGGATTGAGACACATACTAACAGTTAAAATTTTAAAATCATATTATGAAAAACCTTGAAGTAGCTGTTAAAAATAGTTTATTTTTTCGTTTTTAATGATTATTTTAACAAAACTGAAAGAGTGCTGATATTATTCAAAAGAAAAAAAAAAAACCTAATGAGGAGGCTTTTTTAAAAAATATTTTTTATGTTTTTTTTTACTTGGTGAACTTTATCAATCAGCATAATTTAAACTCCAAAATGTGGGTTCAGTCATTTACGTGGCCTTTTGCCATACAAGTCGTATTTTCCGTTCAAAACACGCTTTAAATTTTTAGGCGATCATTTGTATCGAAAGATACATGATCGCCTAAAAACTCGACTTGACGGGGAAGTCCCCATTATCAATGAGATCGAACAGATGAACGGGACCGTAGGTTGCCATTTCTTTCCAATTTTGTTATAGAACCCAGTCTGTCCTAAGAATTTTTTTAAATATTTTAAAAGGATAAATTTGTGGACAAATTCTTAAAATTAAAAACCTTTCAATCAAGAATATTAGCACGTAAAATGTAATGGATTCGACTGGAATTCGAATTCGGCTCTCCGATTCCTCACCCCTATCCATTACTCAACCGTGCACTGTCTGTTGATGACACCTCTTCTTAAACCCATTGGTGACAAATTATTTTTATATTATTATTACCAGTAATTATATTATTACAAGTAATGTTACTCACAAACCGTCACCGTTTATGAATGGTTTATTTACGCAGAAGAAACAAAACAAAAAACATTATTTTATTGCTTCTTTAATCAGGAAAATATTTTCCACAACCAGAGTAGCAGTCAAAAATGATATTATGGATCAAAGTATATCTTTCTTTTCTGTGTAGGATTGACAGCAAATGTGTGGCCCGTGATGAAAACTAGTGTTACACGCTAAGTGAGTGGTGTGCGTGTGTTTGGGAATCCATGACACGCGTACACATTGCAGTTAAACGGTAGGTCCTTATTGAATATTAAAGAGCATCATCCGGGGAAGGATTTTTTTTTTTTTTTTTACACCGTTTATTTATCGCATTTTGAAATGGAATAATCGAAAAACGGAGGTAATTTTTCACGCAAAATCTAACTGTAGTGTAAGTGTAGTGAAGTGTACCTTATCAAGCGTTATCCTGGCAGATTTTAAATTTTGAAAGTAAATGCTTCAGAATTACCTTTAAAATTAAAATTCTTTCATGTAAACAGCTAATTTATTGTGTAGATTATTTGCATTTAAAACTAATTCTTAAATTTTATTATCAAATAATATTTTAATGAACGTATGAAGTAAGTACAGAGAATCTTATGAAAAATCCCTTTAAACGTGGAGGACTGAACAAGAGACTCAGTATTAAAATTTTAGCTACAGACTTCACATCCGGTAAAAGAACTCCCCCCTCCCCCAACCAACACCTTTTCTATACACAAGTCATTTTTTTCATTAACATTTTCTTCAATATTTCTTTTGTTTTGTTGAACAATCTAAATTAAAGTTTATGGAGAGAAAAAAAACCAAAAAAAAACCCACTTTTACAACGTCGAACTTTTCTTCGGTGAGTGATAGTCACCCAATTTTACAATTTTCACATAAACGATAGTTTGGGTGGGGGAGAACTACTTTCTACCATATCAAAAAAAAAAAAAAAAAATTACTGTTAATTTATGCAGCGAGATCTAGGAAAATATTTATTCCTTTTGTTTTGTTCAATAAATTCGTAGTAAGAGAATCATTTTCAGTTCAATTTACTTACGCCAATTAAAAAATAAGGTACGTGAAAATTTTGTTTATAAAATAAAATATGAAAAAATTAACTTCCGGCTCCGCCCTACATTCAAACAAACAATCGTTCATTTTTTATTAATTATAGAAATTATTGGATAGTGTAAAAAATAAGAGAAAAAAAAATATATATATATATATATATATATATATATATATATATATATATATATATAGGAAAGGTGGTCATTTGCTATAAAACATTTTTTCAAAATTTCATGTATTAAATAAAATTTAAAAAAAAAAAAAAAAAAGTGGGTGGCCAAATGAAACAGCAACATACACCATGGTCGCTTTTTTTTTTTTTAAAAAAATTGTATATTTATGAGATTTCAGTAGACAATTCTTTGATCGAGTAGCACAGAAAGATACAAGAGTCGCCATATTTAAAACTTTAACTAATTGAAGAGATTTGCTACAGAGAAAATTTTTTTTTTAAATCCTAATTTTAGAATTTATTTAAACATCATATTTATATTAAAAAAATCAAGCTAAAAACTGATTTAGCAAAAGTGCAAACGATTTAAAAAACATATTGAATGTAAAGTACAATACAAACAGTTTGTTCCGTTTCCCCAAGGTATTTTCATTGGCGATCATGAGATTGCATAAAAAATTATGCTTCGATGGTTTTATTTTTTAGAGAAAGAAGATAAAAAAAATGTTTTAAGTTTCAGTAAATTAAATAAAATCATTCTTCAAATGAATGCGATTAAAAATAAGTAAAGAAAAATAACTGAAATATGCAGAAAATGAGTAAATTAGTTTTTAATGTTGGTAGTAGTAGTAATTCTTGACGGAGCACAGGAACTTTAAGCAGTTATTTTTTATTACAACAGCACGAAAACTTCTTTTAATCCACATATTTATTGCTTTTGCTGTTATGATTTGATTTTACTATATTTTATTCTTAGATAATAACGATTAAAGGGTTAAAAATAAAATCGTTCTGTCTGAAAAAGAATAAAAAATTGACAAAACAAGGAGGATGAAACATTCAGTATCCCAGAAAGACATTTTAACTTTTTTCCAAGTTAAAAACATAATCGCTATGAAATAAAAACACCACTACTATATTTCAATATCATGTTTGATAAAATTAACATCTATTTAATTTTTCTATGTTCATTAGTTGAATAAAATAAGTCAACGACAGGGCTGCTAGAGTTTTTTGTGCATTAAACAATCTTTCTCTTTTTCGGAAGTGAATTACAAGATGGCTTGTGTACTTCAACTACAACTGGGACGATGATATGCATCATTATTGAATTAACCAAAAATTAAATGGGTAGCATTTATTATGTCATATTTCACTAAATTATGGAATATATTTACCTTTCCTATGGAAATAGGATCAAACTTAGATGATTTTCTAAATTCTGATTGAAATAATTTTGTGGGGTTAAAGAGAAAAGAGAACACATACCAGTAAAAACAAATACTAATACTTACCGCGCAACCCATACATCAGTTATGGGTCCAAATGATTTAAACTCTCTTTCTAGTTCATATTTTCCAACTCTATTACCCAAATCGCCAACAAATATTCTATATCCACCTCTAATACGATCCAAAACTGCACGATTTATCATAGCCATTATGATGAGTAATTATTTTTCACCAGTCATTCCTCTTCCGGTCCAAGGAAAGATAACTCTTCCCATCTTATGCTAAAATTATTATAAAATTACTTTATTTTGTCTGACACAAGGCCACAGCTGTGGGCAAATAAGGGAGCGTGGGCGGGACCAGAGGTGCGATTTTCTCAGGTGTTAAATTTTTAGGGTCGGAAAAAATTAATTAGGTTGAGAGAATTCGGACGAAACTAGAATTTAAAACAGCTAAGAAGGAGGTGCTATACTTTTTATATTTTATTGCCTCCGGCTCTCTAAAATCCCTCTCCACGCCATTGGCTGTGGGCACCCAAGGAAGACCGACCCCATTACACTATTTTACAGTTTTACTTTTACTGAATTGATCAGCATGACTAGCTCACTAAAAAACGCACTACAGTAGGCACTCGTTAATTTAATATTTTTATTTGTGGGCTTGTGTAATAATATGTAACTTGTACTGTAGCAACACATAAAGCAATTTTATATATAAATAACCATTAAGTAGTCAAAAAGCTAACTCGTTAAGAAGCAAAAAAATGCTACTTTGAAACAATGAAACTTATTAAGCTTTTTCGTGTAACCTTTTTCTCTTAATTTAAATAAGTGAAGACTCTTTGAAATGATTAGTCAGTATAAATTTATAAATTGGTATCATTTTAAAATAAAATTAAATTTCTCAAGAAAGATTTAAAAAATTGATTTTGAATGTTACCTTTTTCTAGAAATAAAAAAAATAAATTCTATTGTTCGTTTATGAATATATAAGTCTATATATATATATATATATAAGTACACTGATTTTTTTTTCTGTAATTTTACTACTTTTTGCTGAATATCAGGAAAATATTTATTTTGTAAAGAAAAAATTGAAAGATATTAAAAATGAAATTTTTCATGTTTAACATAAACATAGTGTTCCTCTTAGTCATATAAGATAAACTTTCTGTATATATTAAAAATACTTTTTACACCATATCTTACATTGGTCATTGACAAGGTTGATCACAGATGTAACAGCATTTGTTGTTTCTACATGGGAAAGCAAAGTTGATATGAATAAGTATTTCTTAATTAACCACCAATTGTGCAGACAGACAAAAATAAACATTTTTTTAACCAATGAGAATGCACCCAACTTTTCCGAGCCTAGCTGAATCACCTAGATCACATAAAAAAGCAAAATATAATCTGACAAAGTCAGGTACATCACAAGGCGATGAAATTATGTACCCCACTCCCAATGCTCTTACTGTTATGCCCATACATTCCTTTTGACTCTAAAATTCTCATTATCACTCATTAGGAGTAGTGGTTAGCTCTATTTCTGACACTGCTTTTCTTCAAAGATAGCTTTCATATACATATACCTACACACCAATTTTTTTAACAAGGGCTAAAGTAAAAAAAAAGGACTTTCATTTGAAAACTTAATGAACATTTATTTTATCTTCACCATCTTTAAACTACATACTTTAAGTATGCCAAGACTCAATGTATGTACGTGATTTTTGTTCTTTACTTGTGCATTACTTGTTGATATGAAAGTTATTTCATTGTTTTTTAAATATCTGGGTTCTGAAAGTATTTTCTTTTTACTGCTTGAAGACTTGACATAAGCTAATTAATAACTTTGCTATAATACTGTGAATCTTCTACTAAAATAATCTATCCTTATTAATAATGCCATAGGAATTTGCAAAAATAAATAAGTAAAAAAATAAAATTGATAGCAGTGGAGCGTAAGTTTTGATTAAATGACATCAACCAAAAATGACTGAGAACATAAGGAGAGCCCTATGCAAAATGATTTCTTTTTTTTTTTTGTCTGAAGAAAGATACAACTATTCTTTTTTATCATATAAATATTGTATAATCTAATTTCTTAAAAATGATGCACATTTTACCACCAAATGGATGTGTTTTTTACAAAATGAAAATAAAAAATCATTACCCCCGGTTTTAAAAAAAATATAAAAAATCAGAGATTGAAATCAAATTTTTAGCATTTATTTATTAATTAATGAATTATATACTGCATAGGTTACTTTATTAGAAAACTTTGTAGAAATAGTTTGGGGGGTTAGATACTTCCCCATTTCAACAAATATTTCGACATATATGATTTATAATTTTATAAAGAAAAATCGCTGAAGATATAATTTCAGTAAAAAATCTTTGCAATCTCAAATTAGAAAATCTTGAAAATTTATCCTGAACCCTTACAAAAATAATTTAAATAAACTCAAAACATAATTTTTGCTGAGAGTTAGTGTTTGCATGATTTAATAAAAGTACATGATATTCTATGGGAGAGGAAAAAACTACAATGAATATTTATTGGAAAAAATTATTTATAATTTTTCAGTGTGATTTTGAAATTATTCCGGTTGCTGATGAATAAAGAGATACATTTTTTATTAAATAAATATGTTTGAAGAATCAAAAAATGTAAAGTTTAATACCATTTTCACATAAGAAATATTTTTTTAAAATTATTTTATTTATTATTTACACAACTGTTAGATTATTTTTTATGCAGCTGATCAAAAATCTGAATTACCTCTCTTTTTGGAGTTTATTTTAGTCAGTATTAAATTTCATCAGTTTCTCTCAACTTTTTATCACTTCCATTAGATTGTATAACCCAAATTCTACATTATTCCAATACCCAAAAATAGTTGGGTCAAATCCGTGCAAAAAGTGGATCACAGGACACTCAACTTCATACACTTTCAAAAAAAAAAAAAAATCTCGAGCCCTCATTGGTTAATAAATATACAAGTAGGCATGACTATCCACCCACACTTAACTAATTTTTACAGCTTGTGACTGAAATCCAAATTTGTGCCAAGTCTCTGTGAGCTACTCAAAGCAAATAAAAACAGAAACTCATTCACACTCGCCAGTGAGCATTGGGATATCAAATGAATTGCAACTAAACTTCATGTTGCACAATCTTAAGTTTTTTGTTCATGCGAACATTATACAAACTTAACAATATTCACACTCACTCACCAAAACTCACCAGTGAACACTATTCCCATTCACTCACCAAATTCCTTATGCAGAAGTTAAACAAATTCCTGCTAACAAATCAACTTTATTTCTCAACATTCAAGAATATTGTATTACACAAAATCAATGGTAGATAACTTCTTTGATTACAAAATTGCATTCAACTTTACAAACATTTACTACTTACATGAACAGTAAATTCTTAAATGTAAATTTTTCTCTTGCAACTAATTTACAGAATCTTCAATAACAGATTCTAACAAACATCCTTTCAAATTAGAACTCATTAACAAAATTTAATCTTTCACTAAACTTGAGTTCAACATAAATTAAACTAACAAGATTTCACCTAAAAAACTCCAGTACATTTTTGTAAAATATTTTCATTACAAAAATATATTAAAATTTACTTGTTATTCAAATATTTGCCTTTTGTCTTTTATCACAAATGTTTCTTATTGTTTTCTCTTGTTGCTTTTGCATTTTTCTTAACATATTCGTAGAGTAAAAAATTGTAGGGATTGATTTGGGTCGTCAATACCATTAAAAAAATGGTAACCACCAAATTTTCCACAAGTTTAATGAATTTTAAAATCAGAATAATTATAAGGATATTATTCATTAGGTGCAATTAAATATTTTATGACATCAAATAGATAAGAAAATAAAAAAAAAAGTAATGAAGGAGTATCGTTTAACTAGTTTTTAATTAATTACTTTTTTATACGTACTTCTAATGTAGAATAAACAATAAAATTCCTTCTACTAAGTTATATAAAGCATTTAAGATAAAAAAAATTATATTCTTAAACTATTGGTTGTATAAGGTTAAAGATAATTAATTTTTAAACAATACCAATTTCTTGATTATTGCACTTCTAGTGTTCCTTATTTCTTTCTTTTTAATTTTTTTGTTCGCTTCAGAGACAGCAGTAGGAAACTACTGTTGTGACCTATGAACTTGATGAGAGCAAACAAGTTACTATGTGTAAATAAACGTTATTTTCATGATGTTTTAAGCAAAGATTAAGCATCACGTTTACAAAATCTAGTTAATTCTTAAATTTACTTTGAAACACATCTTTACGACAAATGTTGGATTTCAAAGAGATTTTTAAAAATTTGTTTAGATTTTTGTAATCTAATAGCAGTTCAACGAGTTGGTGAGTGACAAATGTATGAACGTGAAAATGTTTTAAAAATGTTTAAAAAACTTTATTTACATAGAGAAATTTATTTTTCTTTTCATATTAGTTTTACGTTCTTATCTTTTACAAAACTTTTACCCAAAGCAAAAGGAGTCATTTAAAATTATTTAGTTTTTTAGCTTAAATTTTGGCGGTACATTTGTAGTGGAAAGTTTGGTGGTTATCATTTTTTTGATGGTGTTGATGGCCCAAATCAATCCATACAATTTTTTTACTCTACGAATATGTGCAAATGCAAAAATAACCAGAGGAAACGACAAGAAACATTTGTGATTGAAGACAAAAGACAAATATTTTCAATAACAAGTAATTTTCAATGTATTTTTGTAATGAAAATATTTTACAAAAATATAGTCGATTTTTTTTAGGTGAAATCTTGTTAGTTCAATTTATGTTGAACTCAAGTTTGGTGAAAGATTAAATTTTGGTAATGAGTTCTGATTTGAAAGGATGTTTGTTAGAATCTGTTATTGAAGATTCCGTAAATTAATTGCAAGAGAAAAAATTTATTGTTCATGTAAGTAGTAAATGTTTGTAAAGTTGAATGCAATTTGTGATCAAAGAAGTTATCTACCTTTGATTGTTTTGCGTAATACAATGTTCTCGAATGTAGAGAAATAAAGTTGATTTGTTAGCAGGAATTTGTTTAATTTCTGCGTAAAGGAATTTGGTGAGTGAATAAGAATAAAGTTCACTGATAAGTTTTGATGAGTGAGTGTCAATATCGTTAAGTTGTATAATGTTCGTATGAAC